TGCAGATCTTAAGTTTAACCATCCAATCAATTGCTGTTTACTTTCTTAAGAAAAACATGGCTATCTTGTTACAGCTTTTCTTAAAAAGTTTCACAGGTCAGGTTTTGTTAAGCGTAAGCAGCCCTGCTGTCATGTTGGTCATCTGCATGTTCCAGGCAATTCTTTCATGTCAAACTGCCCCAGAATTCCTCAACAAAACTATTCAACTGTACTGTCCTTCATAAGATGCTTTTTAACCACATCTTCCTTTTCTGCTACTCCTCTCAAAAGGTCAGAAGATGAGGCATCTTCTAACAAGCTTTTGTTGTCTGCCCTGAGCTGTGTGGCCATGTAAAACCTTTTACGTACCAAGGAAGTTGAGCCAAAACGCCCCACTGCTACGTACCGTGAGAGCGTTGGCAGTAACAGGCACGGTACTGTAGGTAGCTCGCTCGCTGCTCCCAGTGTTTTCATCAACATGGGTGAAATCTGAGCCTAACAAAAGTCAATGAGAGTGTTGTCTTCGCTTGCGCAGCAGCCAGGATTTCTCCCCAGCTGTTACAAACACAGTCAGCGTGGCAGCGAGGAGAGCACGCCGCTTGGTATGGCTTGGTTGAACAAGGAAAACACTCACGCGTACAGTGTGCCTTTATTTAAACTTCCTGTGCTCCCTGTAACTCTTCTTCCTTCGCTGTAGCTGAGTATCCCTTGAACTGGGAGTTTTTTAGAATATAACGATGCTTTTTAAAAGTTCATCCGATCCACAGTCTTCATATAAGCAACTTAATATCATGCTGAAAATCTCTCAACTCTTGTGACATCACCCAACACCTAGATTAGATATCCAGGAGAAATTCTTCCTGGAGAAGGTGGGGAGGCACTGGGACAAGTTGCCCAGAGAAGCTGTGGATGCCCCATCCCTGGAAGTGTCCAAGGCCAGGCTGGATGAGGCTTGGAGCAACCTGGTCTGGGGGAAGGTGTCCCTGCCCATGGCAGGGGGGTGAAACTAGATGGGCTTTAAGGTCCCTTCCAACCCAAACCATTCCATGTTTCTGTGATTATTGGGTCTTATCCTGTGAGCATAGAACGAATGGAGAGACTTCCAGTCAAGACATGGTTAATTATGGATTGTCCAGAGCACCCTGCCACATCCTAACTGTGTTGTACTTTAACACAAAAGGGACAGTCGCAGTCATGGAGCCAGTGTGGTTTGAGTTTGGGGATGCTGCTGGGTTAAGCTATTTTCATGGGTCTAATGCTTGGATAAAATATTTTTCAGGGAAATCTTAAAGTTAGCGTGGTGGTTGCTAGCCTAAGACTCCAAAGTACAGATAAGATTAAAAGGTGATTTAGGGAGGTTGAATAACAAACACTAATAAAAATAAAACTTTCACTTTACTGTGGTTTTGTGAGCTTCGGATGCTGTGGATATGGCTGAGAAGTCTGTAGGAAATGATGACGTGAACAACCAACACTGCTGCAAATGTCTTACTGGCACACTTGAAGTGCGATTCATTGATTTGGTATCTTGTTTGTAATATGAGGGTTTTAAATAGAAAGCCTGATTAGGGTGGATTAGTTTGGGTATTCAGTTTTTCTGGGGAAAAAAGTAATACTTTATGTTGTATCGACGACTCTGAATTCATCCCTGTGTGCTGCTGAACTACGTGTGACGAAGGATGGTGTTTTACCTATGATTTGTCATGTTCCCATGGCAGAATCATTACGTGTAGAGCAACCAATTATTTAATTTGATTTTTTTTAAAAAGTCTTTAAATTAGATCTTGTATCTTGAAACCTTATCCAGAAGAGCTGATCCTAAGGTTATTTTTGCGAAATTTTTTTGGGGGGGGGTGGGGTGGGGTGGGATGTGGAAAAAAAGGCTAAAATACATTGGCTATTTAAAAAGACTCTAAAGGAAATGAATTTGCAGAAGTTGAAGATAGTACAGGGTTTGAGGAAACGGGTGACTTCCTGTATGACTTTGAGCAGGTCACTTCACTCTTCTGTCTCCATTTTCTTACCCATAAAATCTGGTCAGTGAAGAAATGTAGGTAGTTGGAAGGTCCCACTTAGCTGCTTTATATTTAAAAAAAAAAAAATTTGGAAGGCAGAAATCATCCTTTGAGGGCAAAAGCAGAAATGCTCTCAATATATACTCCATCCGTTTTCACGTGTAGTTTTCCATACAGATCCTTGTTATGAGAGGTAATAATACAAGAAGAATTGGGGGTTATAATTATATTTAGAAAATGGTTGAACTAAAAAAGGCAAAATTGCACTGAAACCTCCAAAATGTAATGCACCTGTATCTATCAGACTGTCACTCAACACTGGTTCCTTGGTTTCACTATTTAATAATGCCCATATTACATCTCAGTGCTCCAATTCTGGAAAAGAGCTTATCCAAAAAAACTAACCAACAAAAAAAGACTCCACACCAAAACGTAGCCAGACCGGAACAAGACCCAGCCATGCTGCTCAGGCTTAACTGCTTGGCTCGTGTGTACGTACGGGTTGAGTTTATGGAGAAGGCAAACTTGGAAATAATGGGGATGACTTGTGCAAAATCAGAATTACATTACTGATTAACTACTAAGTGGTTCAAAATGACGAGCTGAGGGTAGTCATGTGATTCTGATCTTCTGATTCCAGGTTCATCCTTCAGCCCCTACTTAGAGTTGTGTTCTGTCCCATTACCTGAGGTGTGTTGTTTTCCCAAGGTTTACGGCTCCCTGACTGGTTAGGTTTCCTGCAGGCCTGCTCTTCTCAAACCAGGTCCCTTCCCACACTCCAGCAAGTGGGAGAGCAGAGGCTGGTGGAGGCAAGGAATGCCATACGAAGACAGCCAAGTAATCTCACTTGCAGCTTCGCTGTTAAAAGACTTTCATGAATTCCATGCCCATTAGCAAAATGTTGAAAAATGTAGTGTTAAGTTACAGCTGTTCCTTGGGATTGTTTTTGTTGCTCCTTGGGACTGTTTTCCTAAACTCTAATTACAAAGGAAGCCTGAAATGAGGAGCGTTTCAAAGCCCCCTGGCAAGGAAGATGCAGAGTCTGCCACATGCAGAGTTGGAAGGAAATGGAGATATACAGAACGGACCCAAATTGACACGAAACCTTTCCCCACCACCCCAGCAGTTCTGCAGTTATATCTGGGGGTTTTTAATGCCCTAATGTGGTGGCTGAGTTTTGGGAGAAGCCTGGCAGGGCTCTGAACGGCACAAGTACCTTCAGGGTCCGTGGCAGAAGGTGTCTCTGGCAAGTGCCGGGCTGTCAGCTGCACTCCCTTGCATGCTCTCCATCCGGGATGGAGCGCGAGCTGAACACGCACACACCCAGGATGAAGAGCATCACTTTGCTCTTATTCCCTGCTCTGAGAGTTTTTGTGCTGAGATAAAACACCATCCAGCAAGCTAAAGCTGTGGAGTGTCCCTGTGTCCGGCTGTAGGTGAGCATCCCTCCTTAAACACCACCCAGCAAGCTAAAGCGATGGAGTGCCCCCTATGGATGCTCACCTACAGCCCCTATAGGTGAGCATCCCTCCTTTACAGCCGGTGTTGGGAACAGCAGGTGATAGTATCCAGGGCACTCAGGGTGGCACAGTGTTCTGTTCTCACAGACACTGAAGGTTGTCATAATTTTTAAGGCAATATGAGTCTACTGGACATGGCGTGACTGAAAATTGCAGTTTTGTGCATCTGGTGGAGCCAGGAAGGCAGCTAGGGAACATCACTAGCACGTTTGCTCCAGAAACCTGCATCTGAGAGAGGAAAATACCAGTTGTTGTCATGGAAGGTACAGGAAACCAAGTAGCTGCCAATTATAAAGTGCTTGCAGGCACGTTTTTCTAACTTTGGCGGTTTTTGGCAGGCTGCTGTTTTGAAATTGGAGCTTTTCTGCTGTAACAGACTGATAGCGTGTCGCTTAGGATGGGGCTGATGTCTGATGGTGCGCCGGCCGGAGAGTGTGTGGATTCTGTGGGAGTGGTGCTGGACTTGTCTGGCAATGTCAGACCTTTATTTTTCAGGTTTGCTGCATGAAGGCATTTGAGTAATTGCCAGTAAATAATACAGCAGAGAGGCACTTCTCTTCCTGTTTGTCATTCGTTGTATTAATTTACAAGCTGGTTTGAGGGCAGTAACCTGTTCTAGCGATCAGCTGGGGGCTGCGTTACCGTTCCGATTCAGAGCTGGGTCGTTGATTTACGCAATGATCTTGAACGAATTGCTTATCCTGAGGAAAAAATGAGGCAGATGGAAGATAAAGGGGGTCATATCTAAAGCATTTTAGATCCTCTGATCAAGAACATTGTAAAAGGGCTCAGAACAGTTATTGAAACCAACTGCAATTAGGGGTCTTGCTCCAAAAGGCGTGTGGCAGGAGGAGTTCCTTGTCCCTTAGTTTATAGCTGACATTTCCTCTTTAAAACTTCCATAACACCTTAGTGTGTGTACACACGCACGCCCAGTGTGTGGGAGAGGAGGTTTTCTGGAGGGACCCGAGGAATCGAATCCCTCTCAAGAGGACGAACAGCTGTCCTCGCAGGCGCAGCCGGGGACTAGGACGAAGAGGGTTTTATGTCGAGTCTGAATAAAAATCAGGGCAAACATCCGTTGTTAGAATGTGCCAATCAAAGGCATCTTGGTAAATTCCATGTAGAGAGAATTTTTAATTTGGAGCTAGCGTTCAGTCAGTAACCAAAGAAATGCTCTTCAGCTAGAAGTGCTTCAGATCTCGTGGTACGGGAAACCAGTAATTATGAGATACAGTGAACAATACAAGGTAGAATTGCTGAAGGGATTAATTAGCCTTAGTCTAACTAACCACTATAATTGATGCAAATATACATCTGCAGCCCGCTGAGACGTCGGACCGTCATCATACACCTGCTCGTTTTACCAGCCTGGCAGAAGACAGCTGTCAGAATAATCTGAGTTGTTCTGGAACTCCTTGAGCATAACTGACTGACTGTTCTTTTGTTGTTCAAAACGTTTTCTCTTTCCTTTTTTTCTAAACAGCACTTCCATGATGGCAGAAAGGCACAACAACATATTGAAACTTGCTGGAAACAACTTGAAGCAGTAAGTGGAAACTTTCTCAGATGCGACGTTTAAGTGGATTTTATACTGTTTTCATGGAGATGGTTCCACTCCATTGTATTTGGAAAAAGAAGGGTGTATGGATAAAAGCTGTAGAAATGGGAATTGTAAAACTCTGCTGTCTTAAATACACTAGTAGGCATGAAAAAGGCTGGTTTAATAGTGGATTTAGCTTTCTGTGGGATGTGCGTGTATCATGAGAGGCATTTCACGTGATAGGACTTGAGAAGTGCGTGCAGCGCGGCTGTGAAACGCAGAGTCCCCGAGGGTCCCCGTCAGGTATTCCCCTGTACGCTGAGTAGCTTCATACCGTGTGAGTAAACAGAATGGGACCATCTCTTGAGTAAGGTGCTGTTTCTCAAAAGCAAATACACTGAAATTGTCGTTCCTGTGATGAGTGAGAAGTGGGACTGTAAGTGGCGCAGAGGATAAAGTGAGAGGACAGCAGTAACCTACTTGGAAATGTATGAACCGTAGAACCGCCTTGTGCACTACAAAATGAGGCAGTTAAGTGTTGGGAGGGAGTGATGCAGGCTGCAAGAGCAGAAGAGATGCTAACAGGGAAAAATACTGAAATACTAGTGATGTTGGTAGAATAAAGACATCTGAAGAACAGAGCAAAAAATGTGTTTCTGGTATCTTTTTGTTGTTCTTTAATATGGAAATTTACTCCAGCGTAAACAAGTGAGTCCTAAAATCTGATGGTTGTCACAGCAGATCAATTTAGGGGCAGGTATTGATTTTTAGGTAGATTTTGATCATGTGCCTTTCCCATAATGAAGGCATCTGTCTTTCCTTCTCAGAGTAAAAGGCGGTTTGAACGTGATTGCAAAGAAGCTGATCGAGCACAGCAGTACTTTGAGAAGATGGATGCTGACATCAACGTTACAAAAGCAGATGTTGAAAAGGTAAGTCGGAGGGTGGGGAGACTGTTTGTAAACATGGGTGGGATAGGTTTCGTTCCTCAGTCCGGCTGGCAGGATAAACCCTCTGAGGCTTAATGTCTCACTTAAGTCAGTAGTCTGTAGGTTAATTAAAACCAGGGAGATTTTCGTTCCTCAGTCCGGCTGGCAGGATAAACCCTCTGAGGCTTAATGTCTCACTTAAGTCAGTCTGTAGGTTAATTAAAAACAGGGAGATCTCTACAGAGACCTATATTTGCATAAAAGCTCTAAACAGACGCCGTCAATTTTCTTCAGTAAGGTGATATCCGAGTTAAACATAGCTGACATGGCTCTACCTGAGCTAATGCACAGTTTTAAGTAACACCCCAGATGCTGGGACAGCTGAGGGCTCCCTGTGCAGTTACCACACGTCGTTGGTCACTCTGGTCCAGGTAGAGCCCAGCATCCTGCCTTCAGAGCAACACTTGACAATGTCCCGATGTCACTGGTAAGTGTTGCCAGGGTTGTTGTTCGTGGTGTGAGATTTACAGCAGGACAGCTTTTCTTGTTATGCAGGATCCTGGAATTCATGTTTGTCACAGATGGCACATAGCTTTTATTTTTATTTCTCAGTTGGTATCTGGTTGCAGTCATTTGTGGCTTTTATATGGTGATCCCCATTCAGTCAAGCTGTTGACCTGATGGTGAATTTTAAACATTTCAGCATATCTGTCTTGAAATACTTTCTTTCTTTACTTTGAGGCAACTTTGGATGTGCAGAAGGATGCTTTACATGTCCAGCTCCCATGATGTACCTGTAACTTAAGGAAGCATTGGAGAGGGAGAAAGCACGTTTAAATTGCTTCTCTTCTTGGTGTTACACATCTGCTCAGAAGATGCAGAAATGTAGATCAGAAACACAATGTGTAAGGGCAGTTTTGTCTTCCCTGTGATTGAATCATATAGGTAGAAGATAGCCAGGACATTTGAAAAGTCTTTTTTAAGCAAGGGGGAGGGGAAAAGCTGAAGCTTAAAATATACCAAGCATTTTGTTGCAGAGACAGGAAAGGAAACTGAGTTATGGGTGAGGAATCTTTTCTAGTCCAGGACAGCCCTTGTAAGCTGTAGCTTTTGCTCCTCCAGAGGTCTGCTTCATTCTGTGCTCAGGTGCTTCAATCCTGGGAAGCTGTCAGATGCAGATTTTATTTACATCTGCAGGATCTTAAGGTGTTTCTAGTGTGCTGAGCATCATGGAGGCTACGTAGCAGATAGCATCACGGATGCTGTTAGAAACGAGGACAGTAAATTAAAAAAAACAAAACCTAAAACCCACAAAGTGAGAAGATTTCCCCAAAGTGCTATTGCATATCAAAGGAAAAAACACCCCTGTAATTGTGCAATTTGCTTGGCTGTTAGTTGTAAATTCACCATGCAGATTTGATCCTTTGTTGCCTTCTGGATTTGCCAGGGCACTTTACAGATGAATGCGTGTACAGGATTGTTCAAGATGTAACACCACATGTGGGTTTTTCTGACAGAGGAGGATCATCTCTGATTTAGAGGTATAAAGTGATTTTAGAATACATTTTTTTCATAGATAAAATTAGGACTTGCCCTAGATTTTTTTTTCCAAAGCTGAGGTCATGTCAAAGGGATATGGGGACATGACTGACTGTTTGAAATAGAGGGCCTGTCTTCTACATCCCTTTTTAAGGCTGGGCTTTTGTGGTCAGAGTGAAAGGCTGCATATTGGTGGTACATCAATCTGATAGGGTTAGGAAGGGAAGCAGTCCCTGCCCCAGTGGTATCTGGGGCAAGGGGTGGGATTTTGCAGTTGTGTGTGTTGGCTAATCGCGGGAGAAGGCATTAGTCAACTCTCCAGTCAGTCAGTGGGGTAGATGGAGAAGGAAAAGGTTATCAAAACGAGTGGAATGTGAAATAATATTACTGAACAGAGAGAACAGTGTTTTCCAAGTGCATGTGTTGAACTGGGTTCATCCATGTCAGGCTGTGAATAATGCCCTTTCTCTGCTTCCCTCTGCCCGTGTGACTGGGACCGCTCTTGCGTAACTCCCCAGTGCAAAATGGGATATTGTTTAACCAAGCGCTGCTGCTGGGGCAGCTCTCGCCGACGCGCTCCGGGGGGTTGCAGAGACTGCTCAGCTTCTAGTGAAGCGACACGATGACTTACCTCCTCCTCCTATTGCAGCCGTTGGATTTCTCTTGCCCCTTATGGCTTGGCTGCTGCACTCCAACTCCCAAAAGCTCTCAAAAATCTGTCTGGCCAGGAAAGCAGACAATCTGGCAGTGCTCAGAGCCAATGCTTTGGCAGAACAAGGTGCTCTTCAAGCAGTGGGATCAGTTGCCCTCATTTCTTCAGCTTGAGATTGACACCTTGGCTACTGTAGCTTGTACCTGCAAATATGAGCAGACACTAGAGCTATTTTTTGCATCATGCATTATAGAGTAATGGAATTAAAATTCTGCAGTGATCACAAGGACACATGCAAACAAAAGACTATATAGCTGCAATTCCCTAATGCACCTAATGCTAAGCTGTGTGAGGCTCTGAAATGCTTGCATCTTCATCTTTCAGTCCTTGTAGCCCTTGACAACTGCAACGGAAAATTGTGACAGAACTACCAGCACTTCACGTGGCCTTTCTGAAGGGTTAGCTCTTGGTGTTGCAGTTTGCTAGGATTAATTAACCCGAATCGTGTCGGAGAAGCAAATTAAGACTTTCCTCCTTGTTTCTTCAGGACTGTGTTGTGAAGAGCCTCAGGTGTGTGCCTGGAGGCAGGGCTGGATGTGCAGTACGGGCATCTTGTACCTAGGTCCCAGCTCCTTCTGTAGGACCAGCTGAGGTTCGGTATGCAGAGGGCACGTGCCTTCTGGGCCACTTGTGTGGCCAGGATGGGCTCGATCGTCTTTGCAGCTGGCCAGGCTGGTAGTTGGTCTCTGAGAGAGCAGGGTCTTCAGCACAAAGCATGGTTGGGCACAAAGGTTTGCCAGGTCAGTTTAGCAAAGTTGGGCTAGGAAGTTGACTGCGTCGCAGAAAGCCATCCTGTGAAAACATCCTTATGAATGACAGCCGTGGTGCGGCACGCTGGTGGGGATGCTGGGAAGCACCGTAGGCATCCCTGTAAGCTGTTGCTTCATTTGGATCACAGCGAGCCGTGTGCTTTAAAGCTGCTCTCTCTCAAAAACCACAGCGGAGCTGGGGCAGGTTTTTGACCATTTGGGGAAATGGTGTCTGTCGCAGCAGAGCCGTGTACATATAAGGAAGCGCTCCATTGTTTGTTCCTTCTCTTTGGAGCTGCAATCCCTAAAAAGCTGACATCTTTATGGGGTAGTGTGGTACCCAGAGGTGCCTTTGCAGCCTGCTCACGATAAAAAAAACCCATCAGCTGGCTTTTCTAAAGTTTTATATTCAAAACTGGCTTCTCAGAAACACATTTTCAAGAGGAAGTGGCTGAGGCCAGCCGTGGGAGGGGTGAATACTTTGCCTCTTGATTTGACAGCGTTTGAGGTACTCGGTGTCAGGCAGGATCCGTCCCTTTGCGGAGGAGTAGCACAGTTGTATGTTGGTGTCCTGGATAATAATTTTTGCTAAACAACCCCAGAAACCCTACAGCAGCTTTGAGCAGTAAAACATGAGCTGTGTGTGAGCTCCCAGCACTGCCCTGGCGTCGGGGCTCGTTGTCTTGTCCTGATCTCTGTGCCTGTCAGGTTAGGAGGGTTTTGCCTTGAGTGGTTCTGAGATAAATGTAAATGTGTAGTAGATTTAGAAAGCAGTTTAGTAACAGTAAATTTAGAAATGCGTGAAGTGCAAATTTGACCTTAACTCTCACAGGGCAAGAAGCTTCTGACACCGCTGAGATGGGGGGGGTGTGGGGTGTGGTGTTTTGTGCTGCTGTGGGTGTTTGACTCATCTTCAGTAAGTCTTCAGCCTGCATCCATAACGGACAAGCTTGTATTAAGACTGTATTTGTATCCTGTGACAGCCAGACATCTCTTCTGGGACAGTGGGGTTTTTCTACTCACTTTGCTTTCTTACGTCCTTAGAGCTGCTGGAGCTTGTTGCGAGTTAGCCGTCAGTTTGGGATCAAAATTACTCCAAAATTATTATTATTATTACAGGATTATCGTTCTATTCCTTCATTTTTTTTCTGTGTCATATCCTCTGTCATATCTAAAACCAAAAGAAATTAAAAAGCTGATGGTTCTGTTCCTGTGCCAGCTCTTGAGTTTTAGATGTTTGGTTTTATTTTGTTTTTGAAGTGGAGAAACTGAGGGAGACAGAAGTAATTTCAAGTTTATTGAAATCTCGAAGAGCTTTCCCCAGTGCTCTGCAACTTTCAGATCAGGTTATGTCTGCCATATCCAAGCTTTTTGGAGTTCCAGAACAGCTTAAGATTTGCATAAAGGCATAAAGCTTCTTAATACAATATCACCGTGACATTAATTTTCTCATCTGTAAATATAACTACAGAGCGATACTGACATTTCACGCTTCAAGTTTCATTTTCTGTGCTCTTCTGCCACGTTCCCTGGGTGCTCACTGCCAGTTTCAGTGCAGTGTCAAGCCTGTGTTGCCCTCCTCGCCCACAGAAGACACGTCCAGACATCCACTTGGGTAGTCACGAGCTGAATCCCTGGCAAACTCTTACTGAACGGAGATGTAGAAATACTACTACTTGGAAAGATTCTTGGAATAAGCTGATGTTCCTGCCTGTGTGAGCGCAGTTGTGCTGTCAAGTGATAAACTGCTTTTCCAGCCCCTAGGCTGCTGCGCTGCGGGGCACGAATCTCTTCATTAAGAATTTACGCAGCCTTACAAGGAAGGGAGCGCTGGGCTGTTTTCACTTGGGCCCTGGAGAAATCCCTGATCCGTGGTTTGGCGCTATCCCGCATACAGCGTTTGCAGCATGCTTTGTCGAACAGCAGTCAAGTCACGGCGGGACTGGATGCAGCGTGCATCGCCGAAACCCCACGGACAGACCGTGGAGGAGCGTCAGCTCAGC